AAACAGGCCAAACTGTGCACACTCGAGATAATTCGAGCGGCGTTGTATTTGATGCTGCTATAATTTTTCACACTCGAATATATTCGAGAATTGAAAATAACAATGTGAAAGCTAAGAAAAAGAATCGTGTTATTGATATTTATCATTTACATAGGATTGTAAGCTATAATACTTATTTATTCGAAAATAAAATATAGCCTTTTTCCATGGAACAAAAGCGCAGTATATCGAAATTGTCCACTAAAAGAAAAGTTGAATCAGGAGTGATAACAAATGGAAACCTTTGAGGATGTCGATGTTCTAAAGTTTGTTTTTTTTACATTAAAAAAATTGATTTTTTTTGGCCGGTTTTTTTCAAAAAAACTGTGCGTTAAGGGGTTAAACGAGATTCGACGAGTTTCTTATATTTTTCGCGAAATTCGAATTTTGAAAATAGCCTAACGATGTACATTGATGATATTTAGAATTAAAGTTTGAAGTTGTTAGTTTTATATCTTTCTTACTAGATTTATGACACAGATGATTGCCAAAATATTACAAATGCAACGTGTAATCGTATTAAAGTTCAATTTCACTTGCAGCTTCATTTATAAGATTAGACATTACAATTAGCAAGCTGAGTGACATTCAAACAGTAGATAATTTTTATAGGCGTCCCCATTTTTTCGGGAAAATAATAGCTACAATTTAACGTCGTTCTTCTTCCTCATTTGTTTCTGTTCATTTCTCACTGCACATATCCTGTAAAAAAGTTGTTTAATTTATTTGCAAATTTCACTCCTATACTTCTTAGAAAAGAATTTTCACTTTTACTGGAAAAAGTTTGAAACATTTAATTCAACGAACAATTGTATTAGGTCGTTCCATAAGTTCGTGCCGAGAAGGAAAAATAATTTAAGGAAAATTCAAGGAAATACTACAGCGACGACATAATGGTATTACTAAAAAAATAGAAAAAAGTTGTAGAACGAGAAGGCGCTTACGTTTTTTTTTTTTTGTCAAATGTAAACGTTCGTTGGAAACATCGATCTGAATTTTTAAATTCGGCACGAACTTATGGGATGACCTAATAATATGAATACGCAAATTTGTCGGAAAGCGGCTCAGAAGAAAGTGATAATTACAGTAGTGATTCTGAAGATAGTTCAGAAGAAGATATAGCCGTTGATTGGAAGGAGATAAGCAATGTCCAACCAAATCCATCTCCTCAAAGATTTCCATTTGTTATCACTCCTGGTTCAACTTTTCTTTTGGTGGACAATTCTGATATACTAGCATATTTCAAATTATTTTTTGATGATTCGGTGTTGGATATATTAGTTTTAGAAACAAATAGATATACGGAACAACAACCGAGTAAATCTGACAGTCAATGGAAACACGTTGATAAAAATGAAATAATGATATTTCTAGCTATAAATATACTTCAGGGCCTTATAAAAAAACCAGAAGAAAGAATGTATTGGTCGACTAAAGAAATATGGTGTACTCCTGTTTTTCCAAAATTGATGAACCTACGAAGATATCAAAGTATAAAAAGAAATTTACATTTTTGTAATAATGAAACATTTGACCGAAATACTCATCCCAACCCAAAACTTTACAAAATTTGGCCTATTTATGAAATAATAAATAATAAATGTTCTAGTTTATATATACCAGAACGAGATATAACGATTGATGAAAGTCTAATGCTTTATAAAGGTCGATTAGGTTGGGTCCAGTATATTCCACTAAAAAGATCGCGGTTTGGAATAAAATTATTTTTGTTGTGCGAATCTAAAAGTGGTTATCTTTTTTCATCAATTATATACACAGGGAAAGGCACAGTAATAACTGACAAATATAAAGATCTGCCAGTTACTTCCCAAATTGTTGTGTCGCTGCTAGAACCACTTTTAGACCAAGGCTACTGTCTCACCACTGACAATTATTACACATCACCACAACTAGCAAATTTTTTAATAAGTCATAAAACGGACACGTATGGGACTGTAAGGAAGAATAGAAAAGATGTACCAAAATTTATTCAAAACAAAAAATTGAAAAAGGGTGAAATAGTAGCTGCACGACGTGGAAAAGTGATGATAATGAAGTGGCAAGATAAAAGAGACATTTGTTTGCTATCTACAGTTCATAACACCGAAAAGGCAACTACAAACAAAACGGATAAAGACGATAATGTTATATCGAAACCGAAAGTGGTAATAGATTATAATGAAACGATGGGAGGTGTTGATCGTCTAGATCAGCACTTACATGATTATCCCATTACCAGAAAAAGGGGAAAAAAATATTATAAAAAAATATTCTTTCATTTATTAGATATTAGCATTTGGAACGCATATGTTTTGTATAAAAAAGATGGAGGTGAAAAAAAAAATTTAGAATTCAGAAGCAAATTAGTGGAAAGTCTCATACAAAACTGTCATAGTGATACAAATATAAAAAAATCAGGTAGACCAAAATCTTGTGGAATTCTACGACTAACAGAACGTCATTTTCCCAGTTTTGTTCCACCAACACCAAAAAAAGAAGCTCCCACGAGATATTGCGCTGTGTGTTGTGCTAAAAGAGATAGCAAAGGAAAAAAGAAAAGAAAAGAGAGTCGATACATGTGTAATATTTGCAATCTTGGGCTATGTGCTGCACCTTGCTTCGAAATATACCACACGAAAGAAAATTTTGAATAATTTTTTAAAATAAATATTAGTATTATTTTTGTTGTAAAAGTATAAATAAATATTTTAACTGATAAAAATGTTTTTCACGAAATAGTAATTCGAAACGAAAAATAAAAAAGTCGATGGACGTGTAACATTGCAATATTCGGCTCTTTTCTGCAATGTGGATCAAAATCCAAAATTAAACTAAAAATTTTGATTAATTTTGAATTTTTTTTATTTTTTTGCCAAAACAATGTTCTAAAGTTTGTTTTTTTTACATTAAAAAAATTGATTTTTTTTGGCCGGTTTTTTTCAAAAAAACTGTGCGTTAAGGGGTTAAAAAAAAAGATCGTCTTAAATCAATCGGGTTTCTTCGGTACAAAAGAATGTTTACACTTGTGAATGATGGTACTGGGACCATAATTATTTAAAATATAATTAAATGACATACCAGAATTTCAGAAAATGAGGATGGCTCTTTTCGCAGACGATACAGCAATATATGCACATTCATTCAACGCAGTAGTCGCGACGCGGTAAGCAACGCAGTAGTGAAAATTCAAATCAACCCAGACAAAACAGAAGTAATAGTATTCAGTAAAAAAAGAAAGGTCAGCAAGATATTCACACCCATAACACTATACAACAAGAAGACAACAACACTAAATAGCATAAAATATCTTGGTGTACACCTTGATTCAAAATTGACACACAGAAACCATATCAAGCAGTCAATCAGGAAAGTCCATGCGGTAATGAAAAAAGTGTTAACCCACTTATGGTTAAAAATTCAGCAGTACAAATTAAAAATAAAAGATTAATATACACTACAATTCCTAGACCAATTATAATGTACGCAGCACCCGTCTGGTGTTCAACAGCTCCAACGAACATTAAACCACTGCAAGTGTTTCAAAACAGGTCCCTTAGATTAATTCTAAGCAGAGATAGATACGAAAGAATAAAAACGCTTCATGAGGACGCACAAATGCCGTTAATTCCTGACTACATTAGGGAAACAGCGCAGAAATTCTACACCACCAAAATTAAAAACATTAACAAATTGTTAGATGGCATAGGAGATATTAGATTTAATAATTCAGCACTTAAACTTAAGCACAAACTACCATACCAAAGACTGGCTATTTACCAAAGCTCAATATAAGAGTAATTAAAAAGACAATAAATTAAAGATAAGTAGAGTATGTGAGCGAGTGTGAGCATGAATGAACGTGAAAAGAATGTAGTACGAGTGAGTGTGGTAGCAATAAGGTAAACAAGATAATACTAAGAGCAATAAAATCAAGAAGCGAATACAGGTTTTTTTTTTAATATTATAGTTTTCCTGTGATACAATGGCAATTACTATTGTAATGTTAACGTAAATGTTGAGTAACACAGAGTATTACTCTAAAAAATCAATTGCTATCCTATTAACTATAAGCAAAACGAAAGGTAGAGCCACAAAACGAGGCAGGGACTTTCATCAAACAGAAAATGGAAAAGACAGTGTAAATTAACTTATGGTTAAGACATACATGTACTTTGTAATATTATTGTTAATAAATGTTTGAAAAAAAAAAGGTTCCCGTTCGATCACCGAAGTCAAGATGCACTGGGCGCGGCGACCGTAAGAAGATGGGTGCCGCTCCTCACCCATCTCTGGAAGCCGTGCTGCTGGTTTTTTCGGGCTGAAATTTCACAAAGACGTTAGTTCCATCCTTACTAACGTCTAGAAATTGAAAAAGTCCAAGAGCAAAAATCCTTACCGCCAAGTTTGGGGTTCAAGCATGATCGGGCATCATTGCTCATTCTCCGGCTTGTTCTGTCGGTTGGTGGTTTCGATAGAAAGTAGAAAACTGGTCTGATAGAGGTATAAGCTGAATAGTTGAGGTACTCTGAGTCCTAAGGACGACCGACACTAATTGTTGTTGTTGAAGTTAGTAACACTAGCAACGACGTTGAATAACTCTATAATACTTTAGAAGATAAGCTGCATATACACTTTCAATCAATTAAATTAACTTAATTCTCTTCATTCATACATTCTTGTATGCAAACATTCTTGATGTATTAAACATTAAAAATATGTAAAAAAATCGGTTTTGTTGGCATATCTAGGTGTATATCCTCCCTTAAATAAATGAATGTTAACGCTACAAACAACCTGAAGAGCGAGAAAATATCTCAGTTTAAAGTAATTTTAAAGACTGTAAAACGAAAATCAGCGAACTCCTTCCTACACCTAATATTCATCTGATAAATTATAATTCAAATTTTGTTTCAATAATTGTCAAAATGAGTTTCTAATTGATTTAATATTTCGTTCTAAAGTTAGCAGAGAATTCCATGTTAGGCCGTCATTACGTAGCCGCAAGAAATATCAAAGTAGGAGAAATTGTTCTCAAGGATGAATTGCCTCTAATCGCAGGCCCCATGGTGAATTGTGTTCCACTGTGCCTCGGATGTTATACAGTGTTAGATAAAAGCATTGCAGTACCATGTGTAAAATGTGGTTGGCCTCTTTGTCAGAATTGTAAAGTGCATGGATTAGAGTGTGATTTTACTTGCTCCCGCAGAGATTCTAAGGTAACTCTTAATTTATTGTTAAATTAATAAGAATGATGCAGCCCGTTTATACTAAAAACTGGTAGCAAAAGCGATATATTTTACTTTCCATTTTGGAGACGATTGTTTCTCAATATTAATTGTAGTCAGAAATAACAACGATATCATAATTGTTACATGAATAAGGAAACAATATACAGGGTGAGTTTTTTTAACTGTGCCACCTAAATTTACTCGTAAACTATTTGTTGTATCAAAAAAATTTTCAAACGAAAGTTGTTTGGTATCAAATGGGTCATACAATGTAATAATTAGTTTTTTGATAATTCGCTTCTTTATCCAGATATGAAGGTCACCTTGAATTTTTGTATCATGATGTGTAATATTTGTCCTTGTAGTACGATATGGGGTTAAAAACTCATAATTACCCAGATATTCCTTAATCAATCTTTAATGTATGCAATACTCAAAATGTTGTCTATTACATCGAATACAAATGTGTAGGCGATCAACGAGAGCGAGTGACACACGTTCAAGTGTTTCGGGAGTTATACCATTACATGTTCTAATGATATGACCTTTCATATCTTAAGGTGTCGTAGGTGGTTCGTAATAAACCTCATTTTTTAAACGTCTCCAAAGAAAATGATCAAGTGGCGTCAAATCTGGAGACCGAGCTGGTCATGGAGTTTGTCCTCCATGTCCAATCCATCGATTACGGAATAATACTTGACGTGCTTGTTGTGCATAATGTGCAGGACAACCGTTGTGCTGATACCACATTGTGGAAATTGTATGTAACGGTAAATCTCATAGTGAGGTTGGTAGTGTTTCAGACAAGAAGATGGAATACTTGTGTCCTGTCAATGATCCCTCAATAAAGTACGGTCCAATTATTTTATTGTCAATTCCATGCACAAACTTTTCATCATCCTTCGCTGAAGAATATCTCGGTAATTATTAGTTTTTAATCCTGTATACCTTATAGTTTTTTTATCCATCATTCAGTATTCTTTCGAACCACAAAAATTCAAGGTGACCTTCATATCTCGATAAAACAGCGGACTATCAAAAAACTAATTATTGCATTATATGCCCCACTTGATACCAAACAATTTTCGTTTGAAATTTTTTTAAACAACAAATAGTTTACGAATAAATTTAGGTGGCACAGTTGAAAAACTCACCCTATATAAATACATAAAAACTTGGAATGATTAAAATTCAAGAAGACAATATGTTCGATTAATATTGCAGGTGTCTATAACTGAATTTGGCTATCCACATCCAAGTTATCAGTGTATAAATGTCATAAGAGCACTATCACAAAAGTACAGTGACCCGGAATCTTATAAAAAATTGCTATCCTTCGAAAGTCATTGCGATAAAATAAAGAATAAAAGAAACTTCATATTTGAAGAGGCATTGAACATTATTCGTTTCATTAAAAGGTTTTTTAAAACAGATGATATAGAGGAGGAGGAAATTATAAAAATCATCGGCATTTTGCAGGTAAAAATATTTGCCACTTGATATTGCTAATTTTATTTCCTAGTTGTTATCTCTCTTTTCCTTCAGGACTTCTCGGCATGTGACCTTTTTGCATATTGAAGGAAAAAAGAGACAACAGAAGTAAGTGAATAAATGTTGAGAAATCCTATTAAATACTCGGACAATTGAAAATCGCGGTTACCGACTTTTTCTGACGACTGCAAATTCAGTGCTTTTTACGAGATAATAGTGTATCAAATTGAACAGTTTACACATACACAAAATCGGCTCTTTTTAGAGCAATCGTGATGTACAAAGTCCGACCAAACAACTTCTCCGCGGTGAACATATACAGGGTGTCCCGTAACTCTTTGAACATCCGGAAATGGCGGGTTGCTGGGGTGACTCTGAACAACTTTTTCCTAATAACAACTTTTTCCGAATAAAGTAAATAAAAGAAAATCTATAGTGTTTATTAATATGAAAAATATTGTTTTTCCGTTAGAAAATTTATAGCTTGAAGGCAGTACAAATAACAAATTTTTGATTCTTGTTAAATTATAGGTTAATGGTCACGAAGTTCCTCTCACAGATCCGCCATACGTAGCAGTTTACGAATTGGCATCTTTACTAGAACACAACTGTAGAGCAAATTGTTCCAAAAGTTTCACCGATCAAGGAGGATTGATTATTCATGCGGCAACACCTATTGCAAAAGGTATACACTTTTGTAATATACTTTGATGTACCATGCGTTTCCAAACTTATACATAAGCAGGCTAGCTTGGAATCTGTTAGAGAATATAGAATAAATGTATATACTCGTAAATGCTTTCTTGAAAAATCGTTATTAAGGAACAATATTTGTTTTAGTATTTTCATTTTGCATTTTTTGAAATGTTCTATAAAAAATGTTATAAATTGAAAACAATCTTCTAGGTGACCATATTTCTATATGTTATACGGATGCACTATGGGGTGTTGTAAACAGAAGGCATCACCTCCTTGAAACAAAATTTTTCGAATGTACTTGTAGGCGATGTGATGATCCTACAGAATTCGGTACTATGTTTAACGCTATAAAATGTAATCAAACGTGAGTAAACATTTAAACAAAATTGTAGTTAACACATTATTAAAACAAAAAAGGCAAAGAACAAAAAAGATTTGTAAGGTCAAGGCTCAGGAACTTTGTTCACTTAAAAAATCTTTGACGTCTCGAGAATGGGGGGGGATAAAGATTTAAAAAAGGTTTTGAAAAGTATAAAGAAACGTATTTGCACAGTTA